TATTAAAATATAAGATTTTATTATATTTTTACATCACTAAACAAAATATTACAATAATTTTATTAAATTTGACCATATTATTATCGATATAACTATTAATATTACATTTTGCAATCGATATTTTCTGTGATTTATACTTCGATCACAGCAAATCACAAAATTCGCATGTCCCTGAATTGCATTATAAAAGTTAAAATATAAACTATATGAAACAGCTAATAAATAGAGTAAATATATCATACGTACGAATAAATTATGTATTAACTTTACATATACCGTAAATAATTATATACTGTATTCTAAATGCTATATATTTGAATATACCAAAACTATTTATATTATTGTAATTAATCGATTTACTAAATCTTCCGTGTTATAATCCATATTTACAAGATAATTGTAGTTTTCTAAAGATTACTGTTTGTTGCCGTATTAACTTGCAATTGACCAGAGCAAATGACGATTACAGGATTAGTAATATCAGAAAATATGAGCATATTATTATAATAACAACTTTTTGTTTTGAATTGTTATTTTAGCCAATTAAATTCTAAAAATATTATAGATCAAGAACGGAACTTATGCATGGCCGGCAAATTACTATGGTAGTTTAAGCCTGATTGCAAGTATAATATTTATATAATACAATATAATTATTCGGTTTCGTCCACTTCGACAAAATAATTCACCTACAATCAATTCACCGACGTATTTTGTTTCAATTCCTAGACAAGCTCATTTCGTAGACAACTTATTTCGCCGACAGCTCATTTCACCGATATTATTACCATTAGAATTAGGGTTAGAGTTAGAGGAATTTATAAGAAATAAACTGTCTACGTACTTGTCTAGGAATTAGTTGTCTGTGAAATAAACATGTCGGTGAAGTGATACAAATCCTAATTATTTACGGTATATGTGTAAAGTGAATACAGTATACGTAGTACATTTACTCTATTACGTAGCCGTTTCATATAATTTATATTTTAGCTTTTATAATGCAATTATTATTTATTGTATATATTTTAATATTCGAAATTGCAAAAACAAAAATTATTTTGGTTTGCTTTTAAAATGTCCAAATTATTTTATATCGCTACTTATGACTCATGTGGTGACGGAATTTAATGATTATCCAAATTTGAAGAGTAACGGTAACGGTAAATCTTTTGATTACGTATACGTATTTAAAAACATATTTAATCACACGCAGAATTTGTCTTAGAAATGGGTCTTAGTCACCGCAAAAAATCATCATCCCTGCGCTAATGATCACTACTCTAATGTTGTCACTGTACGGGTCCAGTGGGAATCGCTAGAACTGGAGGGCTGATTGGAGCTAACTGGAGGACATAACAATTCCAATGATTATTGTCATTGAACCCTTCCAAACAAGTTTTTTTGTCACTGGATGGAAGGTCTAATGACGTCCAGTGATATCCAATGACATTGATATCAATTCAGATTCAAAAAGTCACCGGTATATTAATGTTTTTCTGATTTCAATTCCATCGGATAATAATTTGAAGGGAATTATATATTTACGTTTAGAGATAAGTATTCAGCTCATTACTAATTTTAAATTCCACTGATTAATAAAGTGCAATTTTTAGTGCATATGGGTGGAAAATTGGAATTTTTAGAGATTATTTAAATTGAACGATGAGATTAAATAGAATCTAAGCCAAATCAGTGATCATAAAATTGTTTATGAATCGCTTATGAATCGCTTATGAGTTTTTATATCCCATTTATGAGTAGTGCTCTGAAAAGATTAACTAGAATACCCCAAAACTAACCTGAACAGGATCAATTTCGGATCATTTGAGCTAAGTATTTATGAGTATTTATGAGTATCACCTAAATTTCATTAAAAATTTCCGCCCATATGGAATATTTTAGAGTGAAAGATAATATTAAATAGAATCTAAGCCAATAAGATATAAAATATTGTGTGATTACTGAGATTAAAAGTAATGTTTTTAATCAGTGATCGTAAATTGCTTATGAATCGCTTATGAGTTGCTTATGAGTTTAGTGCTCCGAACAGATTAGCCAGAATACCCCCCCAAAAATAACCAGAACCAGATCAATTTTGGATCATTTGAGCTAAGCTGTTTATGAGTATGACTTTGTTATCACCTAATTTCAATAATCACAGCATTTCAACTAAAAATTTCTGCCCATAACGATAATGTGGCATGGAACATAGTGCCTGGTACAGACACTAGCACTATGGTTAATTAATAGTATAGTGCCTGGCATTTGCAGAACTCTAAGTAATGGTAAATAACGATAGATATTTTTGAATTAGCGTTATGTTATACTGTATAAAAACCACGTGTAAATATATGCATTTTTATTGGATAATGTTTTTGACTATTTAGCATTTTATTGGATAATGTTTTTGACTATTTAGCATTTTATTGGTCAAAAATATGAGTTCCAGTGGAAAAATTCTTCCAGTGAGATCTCTCACTGGAACCACTGGAAAAATCTGGACGTCCAGTGTGTGTTCCAAGTTTCCAGTTAACAACACTGATATCCAAAACCAAAATAGTGTTCAATTCACATTCCACACTAACAATAATCTATGGACTAATTTGTGAATTTTTTTACCAAAAATTATTTGACCTCAAAAATAGAAATAGGCCTACTTTATGGTAAAATTCTTGGGTGAACACAAATTTATTAGATTCCTAGGTGGATGTGAAATTGTATCGGTATTTACATTTTTCGAGTTAGCGTTAGTGATAACGATAACGATAATGTTAATTTATTGTCTAAGAAAGTGATACAATAATATAAATAGTTACTCTAATACCGTAATAGCCTAGTGCAGTAAATTAAGGAATAAAAATTCCGGATAACTAATGCATATTATAAATGTAAAATTTTGACTTTTACCAAACTTTTGGATTTTTATCCAACATGTCATCACAACCATTAGTGTATGTTCACGATAAAGAAATTGTATTTGTAGAACAAAACGATTTGCAGCAAAAAAAGAAAGAAAGTTCATTATTTTCTTCCTTTAAAGTCTTTAAGTTAAAGGTATGTGTCAAAGTATAAATACGAGATAATAAGTGAAATTTTTTTATAATGGTTTTGTTGACTCTAGACTTTAAACTAACAGGGAATATTAAATGAAAATGATTTATATAATGCAATTTTTCCACGAGGCAAAAAAAATTTTCGTATCGAAACTTCTAATTACACGGGAGAATCAACAAAGGTAAAAGATTATTTATTTAGCATACATACGAATAAATACATATCGATATGTGCTAATACTTTATAATCAATTATATGAATTATTCAGATCAAATTTTATTTCACCGATAAAACCCATTTGGACTTGATTAAATATCTACAGAATGCTACTTCAAAACTCCTTCACTTTTCAGAAAACGGTCTTTCAGACTGGTTTCCAACTGATTCTATGACATTAAAAACGATATATCCCTCCATCAATGACCAAATCATTTCATCTTCTACTAATCTACAAAATGACGTCTCAAATTATCAAGTCATTGATGAAGAAAAATTAAGAGCAGACATAAAATCTTTATCGGAAGAACTTAAATTAAAACGTCAAAATTATCCTGATAATATTTTCGATAAATTGTTTTATGATACATTCCGAAGACGTGACATGAGCGTGAGCTTAAATGATTTAAAATCCGAATTTTTTAATCATTTGGATTCGGTACAATTGTTTCTAGGAGTAAAGAAAGAAATTCAAGATAATGATATGTTGTGCCCTGATAAAATCCAAGAAACTATTATTCGCTATATGTTCAAAAGTTTGGAATATCATCTTTTTGATAGTCAAGTTAATATATTAGTAAATATTTTATAATTTACAATTTATTTATTAATTATCATTACATAACTTTTTGACATAATTTTTTTTTTTTTTTTTAAAAAAAAAAAACAGCCTGGAGAGTGCAAACTTGGATTGTTCATTTTCATATGGAATCTTAAAGTTACTCTCAACTCAATTTTTGAATCCTATCAAGAGCTTCAATCAGTAGATCAAAGTATTAAAATTATTTTTGAAGAAGAAAAACCAAAAATTCGAAATATGACTTCAAATATGGAAATTTGTGTTTCGGATATTTTGAGGATTCTTCAATTGGATGATGGAGATGATAATGCTTTGCGAGAGCAATATACAAAATTAAAAGGTATTATCATTATTATTATTATTATTGTTTATGAGTAAAAAAGAAAAGAAAAAACAATGTATGCGAAAAATTATATGCTACGCAATTCAAGCTACTAATGTTCTAATAATTATATAACATAGGCCGTTTGTCAATATTTTGTGAAGCTACAATATGTTTATTGGAACTTATAAAACATATTTCAGTTAAATGTGACGAACAAGTTAAACGATTGGAAGGTCAAAGTAAAAGTTTGACTACCAAATTACTTATTGGTGCTGGGTAAGTCGCTTTTTCATACCTGTTATTATTGGCTGTTGAGTTGTAACCAAATTAATTGTATATAATGATGCTATATTGATTGATTTTTTTTTTAACTTTATAGTACACTTGCATTAGCCGTTGGTAGTGGCATATTATACGCCTCTTACATAAAAGATTCTAAAAAAGATTCTAAAAATAATTCTAAAAACGATTCCAATAATGATAATTCTTCGTTTGAGGTATTGTTCATTTTATCAACCCGTTTTTCTTCTTTCTTTTATTATATTCTTATAATGTCATTGCTCTATTTAAATAGAAATATGCAAAAGGTGCAGCTATAGCTGCCGTAGGTGGCCTATCAGTATTTGGTGGTGGCTTATATGTTCTCTCAGATCTTCAAACAACCGTTTCCCGTATAACTGACACTCTGAAACAACTAAGACATCTTCATGATCAATTAAATGATTGGTCTTTTCATGGGAAAAGGTATTTAGATTGGGATTATGAAGAAATGTGTGAATATAAGTCACATTTATTTTCTCAATTTTCTGATATTAAAGAACAATGTAAAAAGCTTGACTCTGTTTTAGATTATTAAATAATAATGCAAAAGACAGTCTCTTTTTTTTGTATCTATAAAAAAACTCGTTGTCTATATAAAATATAGTATATTTTATGATTTCATATATAAAATTTCAATAAAATATCATAATTTGTATAAGTTATACAAAATAAAAAATGTAATCTAATAAAACGACCACGAATTTTGGGTCGACAACAAATTGGCAATAACATAGTAAGCTATAATTTAAGTGTAATATCGAATACAAGGCAAACTCGATAAGCCGAAGACTGTGTGGGAGACCTAAATATTCGGCTTATTAAATTTTTATATTATTACAGCTGTTTTCATTCTAATTGGGACAGCTATAAAATTCGACCAAATAAATATTCGCCGATTCGTGATTTCGGTAATGACCTATATATTGAGAACGAGAATACGGCGAGTCAGTCGCTCCGGAATCGGGACCTTGGTGTAACCTACGAATGGCTGAGTTGAAAGAGGAGGTTTTATTTGGCGAGTGGGTGTAGTTCGTAGGCAAGCAATTACTGGGTTCTACTCTTGTGACCCCGGAAAAATGGCGTGACCACCGCACGTGATACAAGTTGAGCCGCTGCATAAGTACAACCGAACCGAAGCCTCCCCAAGTTTCGATTTTGGACAATCAAAACAATCAATTTTTTTTATAAAGTTACATCTATTTGCTATCTTAAAAATTCGTCGAAGAAACCACTTTTAGCGTACTAACAAAAAAAATTTATTGCAAAATTTTGGGTATAATGTTGGCTACTAACCCTAACCCTAAATGAGATGTCACATTTTGAACAAAAGGTAATATGTAAATTGGTGCGAATAATAGAAACTTGGGGGAATTAGTAAAATCACGGAAGCCAAGCCCCAAGATCTCAACATGTGAAGTAGCATCTAGTAAATGCTATTTTGGGTTTTGTTTGAGGCGAAGCTTATTGAAAACAGTTAAACAATGAGAAATTATTTCAAAGCCTCAGATGTAGTGATAGGCAAATCACGGTTTTCCAAAATATCCCGCGCGGGATGCGGGTTACGCGCGTGATCTGCGCGTGATGCGCGGGACAGGATTACATTGTGGGTTTCTTAAAATTATGTTAATGCAGGCCGGCTGGCCTGAATTGGGGATCATATTAAAAATACCGCGCGGATCCTGCGCAGGCCCATCACTACTCAGATGTATTCCTTTCCTTGTGTATAAAAGTTCTGAAACTTCTGTTAATAAAGTAGGGGATGATGGTTGTTTAAAAACAGAACCTGATAGGTCAGAATCTACCCCTTACAATATTGATAACGATAATTGAAAAGGAGTCTGTTCAGTTTGTTTAGTTTGTAAAAAGAGAGAGTCTACTATTTCAACTGGTTTAAAGTTAATA